TGATTTAATATTAAGGATTATCAGCATTCTATCTAATTGGAGAGGTTTTTGCATATCTGTAATTTTAATAAAGATACACTCATGTCTTAAGTAGTAATGTAAATGCTACATTATTTAATGAATGATGGGTGTTAAACTAACCCAAGTGGTATTACATTGTGCCCTAAGATATACACACCATCTGTAGAGATGAGACATGTATGCATAAACTGCTATTCCAATGGCCCAGTTAAAAAACCTGCATAATTACAGACTAGGGCTTGTGTTGTTTCTGGGAGCTGAAGTCAATCACTTGCATTTTTATATACTTCTATGTTGTTTTTTTACTGGATCAAAGTTCACTTTGATAACATAACTTCTTATAATGCAATGAGTAGCAGAACACGGAACCTAAGTAACTTTAAGACAAAACAGTAATTTCTAGAGTTGCATAGATTTATAAACATTTTATATATTTGCTGTTTATGCATGCTGCATAAGAACTGATGTTTTTTTGTAGCACCACAGCATCTAGTCCAGTGGCTAATGAAGCTAAGTAATGATATTTCTTCCTAGGCAATATTTTCACAATTTCAACACAGTCGAGAAAAAGCACTCCCATCAGATAATATGAGACATGCCCTGGCAGAAAGTTTTAAGGATGAACAGCGTTTCCAGCTTGGATTCATGGATGATGCAGCAGAATGTTTTGTAAGTATTCTTTGTGATAGTTGAGTAGAATTACTTTAGTTTTGTGGATGCCAAGCTGGCCTGTTGTTTTGGTAGCTGCATGCTCGCATGTGCGATACAACTGACATACTACTGCTGACCTTCTTTATGTCAACTTAGGGGAACAGACACATGGAGTAAGTGTCTGGTAATGCGGGATGGAGTAGTCTTGCATTTGCTCCGTACTTATTCCCTACCTCTGTAGCTTAGACAGAGGGATGTGTGAAACATCATTCCTACAGGAGATCGGTGAGGTTGATGAACTCTCAGTCACTCCTGAAAGTTTTTGGATGGAGAGAAGTGTTAGCTTCTCTGGAGAAGAAGCACCTATAGATTTTAATATATAGTCTATTCCTCCAAGTATTCTCTCATCAACTACTGAAATACATTCCGTTACAACTAACCAGCTCATTACTGAAGTCTTCTGCAGAAGAGATTTCCATTTTCGTATCCAAGAGTGAGCAAATACTTGGAAAATCTTGGCTCTTGCTGCAATTACTTTCTGCTTTTATGAAGTGTCATTGAAAAACATGAGCCGTTACTGTGGCCGTAATAGATGACTCAAGATCACATAGAACACTGGTAGAGAAGCCTTTCTCAGAAGTCCTGTGTTAGACAATGAAAATTTTTCACAATAAATCGGGGGGGGTGGGGTGGTGGTGGAAATCAGTATTAACCTTCAGACACAGATTTGAGGGACAGAAAATACGGTTGCTGCTTTGATTACTTTCAGCTTTGGACATCCTTTGGAAGTATCCACAGATGAGTATGCTAGATGCATTTTCACATATGTAGGAAAATCCAGTGGAGAACTCCTGAAAGTATCTGTTTGAGATCTAGCAGTCAGGCTCATGGATTGCAATCATGAAAGCGAATCTCTCATTAGTGCTCCATCTAATCAAAATACATTTGGACGCCTGAAGTAATCAGCTATCTGAATGATCTACTTGAATAGATTCACTTCTTCCCATTACCTCTAGTATTCTTTGGCAAAAGAGCTAAAAATGGCCGTGCTGATTCAGGGGCCAGACTGATGATAATCACAGTACTTTTTTTGTTGTTTTCTTTTCTTTTTTTTTTAGGGTTGTTAAGTGAGACTTGGGATGGGATCAGGCATGTGCTATTTATGAGCTTTTCCCATGCTTCTGTCAACAGTGCTTGTTGTGTTGGCATATGTGCTAAACACGATCAGATTGACAGGCAGAGAAAAACATAAGTGTGAAGAACTACTGACACGGAGGCCTGATCCAAAAATATTTCAGTCATTGCATGCAATGACATTAATATCATGTCTTACTGTAAGAATAGCTTTTTTTAATTTTCCATGAAGATTCACTTCCTTCAAAGGAGAAGGCGTTCTGGGAGAACAGTTGGGTAACTTGTCTAATGCTGCTTTGTTAATGTTTGGAAACCTTGAGATGAAGAGAATCCCCATCCACTGGGTTGTGAATAGGGACGGAATTAAAAACACGTTAAACTTGTAGGTGGATTATTTGGAGACAAAAGTAGTACTTGGGAGTATTAAACTGTAATGTTGCTCATGTAGTCTAACTTCATCAGTTCAGTTTATATTTACATAATTATTTTTATTTAGGAAAATATCCTTGAGAGGATTCACTTTCACCTGGTGCCAAACAGTGAAACAGATATGTGCACTTCAAAATCCTGTATTTCTCATCAGAAGTTTGCTATGACACTGTATGAACAGGTCAGACCTCTATTTGATTCCTTTAAAAAATAGCTTGTTTCCACTGTGCTGAGTAAATGAAAACAAAAGTATTTTTATTTTTGTAGTGTGTATGTCGCAGTTGTGGAGCATCTTCAGACCCGTTGCCTTTTACAGAATTTGTGCGTTATATTTCTACCACAGCCTTGTGGTAAGAGCTTTTATTCTTGTATCTCATTTTTCTATATACACTCTTCCACTAATAGGCAAAGCATGCCAGAGAAATACTGGAAGTGTTAAAACTGAATGTGTATTCCTTTGTTAAAATGCGTTTTTGAAATACTGTCCAAAATGAACATTTGGATTTCAAAAGCATGATGTAGATAGCTTGACAAAAAGTATGTATTGCTACTGTTTTACCTCTGCATCTTTTCTTTTTAGTCGTAAGATATAGCTAATTGAGAGTTGACTGAAATCTCTTTAACTTTTCAGAAGGGAAATCCACAGTTACTCCCATTTATTTTTTACAGTAACGAAGTAGAAAGAATGATGGAGAGACATGAACGTCTCAAGCCAGAAATGTTTGCGGAATTGCTGCAGGCAGCAAATACTGCTGATGACTACAGAAAGTGTCCTGTAAGTAAACAAGGATGCTGCATTACTTTAAGATAAAGGGAGAACTTTTTAGGATGTTAAATTGGGCTAAATTATTCCCCTAAAAGCAGGATTACCTGTGGCCACTTCAGTGCAGTCCACCTTAGGGTAAAAAAGTCCTTAAATTTATATTTTATTGCTCCAGTTATAGATAAACGTGGGTTTGTAGGTGCAAGTGGCCTGTTTCAAAAGATATTAGGTCTGTGTTTTATTCTTCATTTCATGTTCCACGTAGAGCTAGGTGATTTTGATTAGTTGGAACAGGTGTATTTTCTCAGCGAATCTGCTTTAGTTCATATACACTGGCAGCTTGATAACATTGTCTTCTATTAGAATAATTTTGTGCTTCTGTTGACAAAAGTAGTCTCTTTTAGCTTGTTCTACTTAATTCCTCTCTTCCTTAAATGGTTCTGTGTAAATACTGTTACTTTAGGAACCATAGAAAAGTACACAAGAATTTACTTAAAGGGGGCTTACAAGAAAGATGGGGATAAACTTTTTAGCAGGGCTGCTTGTGATAGGAGAAGGGGTAATGGTTTTAAACTAAAAGAGAGTAGATTTAGACTGGTTATAAGGAAGAAATTTACAGTGAGGTTGGTGAAACTAGCACAGGTTGCCTAGAGAGGTGGTAGATGCCCCATTCCTGGAAACATTCAAGGTCAGTTTGGATGGGGCTCTGAGCCCCCTGGTCCAGTTGAAGATGTCCCTGCTCATGGCAGGAGGATTAGACTAGATGACCTTTAATGGTCCCTTCCAAACCAAACCATTCTATGATTCTATGATAGAGACCTAAGCTTAAATGTTGAAATGGAGGGGGAACAAAAAGAGAGATTGTGATGGTGACTTGGATGTTTTCAGAGATACCTGTTTTCAGGTGGTGATTGGATGTAGAAGTTTAGCTGTGGTCTTCATCAGAGTGTTTTTATGGTGAAGAATTTTATCCTTAAATTGTTAGAAACAAACACCATTATTAAATTTTCATTAAAGTTGCAGAGTTGTTTTGTTGAACTGTTTCTTGTCTGGTAACTCAACTCTGGACTTCAATTTTCTAAACATTTTTGTTTTCCCTCTCCTCGCTGTTCTTTTCCTTTTCGTAGAGTAACTGTGGTCAAAAAATAAAAATTCGTCGTGTTCTCATGAATTGTCCTGAGATTGTGACAATCGGTTTAGTCTGGGATTCGGAACACTCTGATCTGACAGAAGAAGTTATGCGGAATCTGGCCACACAACTTTATCTTCCTGGGGTATCTGACCTAAAACTTACTATTTGCTTATTCTAGAATTTCCTTTTATATGTATTTTATGTATAGGTAAATATATATAAAATATAAATACATATACACATATGTATTTTTTAAAAAGCAAGATTTAACTTCAAAGTTTGTCTACTTTTATCATTGTTTATAATGTGATACTTGATGTAGTTTCTGTGAGAGGAAAAAGTCCTGTCAGAAGTGTTGATCTTGTGCCTAAGTACGAAGATGAATGGAGATGAATTCCTAGTTGAAAATCCAGGAATATCATGTTCAGCTTGAAATTTGTGGAATTATTCCAGAGCATTATTGTTTTACCCTTTCAACTATGCAAAAATAAATGTTAAAATAGACTTAAGTGCACAAATCATTATTTATACTTATGAAAAATTATGTAATGCAACAGGATATTTAATACCAGTTGCCATGGTGAAATGCCAGTAGTAGGTCTGGAAATTGAGGCGAAATGTTTTACACATACCTTAAAATATACAAATACTTTTACAGCTGTTTTATAGGGTTACAGATGAAAATGCCAAAAACAGTGAACTTTTTCTTGTGGGAATGATTTGCTACACAAGCCGACATTATTGTGCCTTTGCCTTTCACACCAAGAGTTGCAAATGGGTGCTGTTTGATGATGCTAACGTAAAAGAGGTAAATACTGTTTTTACTGCTACCAAATTCAGTAATCTTTACATTTCTAGAATGCATTCTTCTGACACCAAACTTCAAACAAGTCAAAGAAATGTCTTTATTTTAATAAATCTTTAGTTTTATAAATCAGTTTTCACAAATGAATTTTGGAATTGACTTCACTACAATTCTGTCTTCAAATGCTGAATGTTTCAGAATGTTAATGCACTTGTCTACTGTTGAGTGTGTACTTTTTTTAATGAAGAAGACCACCTAATTACTGGCCACTGTATTCATACTTTGTTTGACATTACATGGGATTGTGAGCCCATATAATACTGGTTCTAGCTTTTTGCCTCTAGTTACATAAACTCTTGCCAAAATGATGAATCTTAATGTGCCTTTGGAATTAGGCATTTGGTATCTGTTGCTTAACAAGTTATTCTTCCCATAATTGGGTTCAATGCTGTTGATTAAGTTTTTTGGTTTATTTCGGGTTTTTTTTGTTTTTTCTTAGATTGGAACAAAATGGAAAGATGTGGTCTCCAAGTGCATTCGATGTCACTTTCAGCCGTTGCTGCTATTTTATGCTAATCCAGATGGCACAGCTGTATCTCCAGAAGATGCTCCTAAACAGATTATTCACTGGTCTCAATGCAAAGTAGCAGGAGGAAGTGGGGAAGACTTGGGTAATTAAGATACACTTTTTTGATAACAGTATCTACTATATATCTGAAATGGGGATTGTAAAGGAGGAGAGAATGGATTAGCTGCTTTGTTCTTAAATACTTGTATTAATAATTATCTAAAGGGTCTGAAAAGAACAGAGATTAGTATATTTGTTTGATATTGGAACTCTTTGTTTTGTGTCTGAAAAGGGAATACAAATTGAGACCCATGGAATGGGGGAAAAAATATTTTCTGTTGTAGATTATTCATAACTGCCTTACACATAACTCTAGTTATTTCAGAAGAAATTTGTGGTGTATTTGTATATGCGGATGTTCTTATGCCTGTGTTGATACATTTAAAATACCTTTAAAAATGCGATAAAAGGAAACTTCTAAGTAAAGCTTCATACAAATACAGAGATACATTTGGAGCATGTGTGTTTATACACATACACACACACAGAGACCAGAATTCAGAACTTTGGGAAAAATCAGAAGGAGCTGCAGGAAACTTCTTTTCTCCAAGATTTACATAGCATAGGCCTCAATGTGTAATAATCTAGTCTTTTGGTTCTGTAGTTTATAATGCTGTCGTCTTTAGTTTTTTTTTTTCTTCATGTTAAACGTAACATACAGGTAAATTAAATAAAAGGCCAAATGAATTTGATGTGTACCTCCACACATAATGAGTAGCAATGGGACATGGACTGCTTCAGGGAAGAAAGAATTCAGGACCCTCTTCCAATACAGTCTACCACTATAAATATGGCAGTATATAAAATATTACAGAACCTTATTGCCTAGCATATTGAAAAGCAGTGTGGGTTTTCTGTGAGGTTTTTCTTTTGTGTTTTTTATTTTTTTTAAATCCGCAATTAAAAAGTTTTCTTATTTTTTAATTTAGATACTGGAAACTTATTAGGAAGTCTTTCATTTCTAAAGATAGATATGTTATTTGATAGGATTTGAAAAGCCTTCCGCTCCTAAATCAGACCACATGAAAGAGAATGGAATTGGAGACCCCATTAATCAAAGGAGTAATAAAAAACTTCAGCCAGATAATTCAGCATTCAGTAGAAGCCATATTCAAGCTAGTGGTGGTAGAGGACCAGGTATGTATTCCCCACCCCTCCAAAAAACCCAGATGTGTCTCATGAAATATTTCAGCTGCTAGCATGTCAGGTATGTGCTAATCTCTGGACTAGAACTATTTCTAAAGGAAGAATTCTGTCATTGGCTTGGATGAATCTTTGAATAGCAACTAATGTTTAAGTAATATGTGCTATGGCATGTTAACTTTTCTGGAGAACTGCAAATGCAAATTATTTTTTTTTTTGTTGCCCCTCATCATTCCTGCAGTAAAGTGGCTCTTGAGGCCTTGATCCATTTCTCAAGCATCATCATGCCTTCCAGTCGTAGTGTCAGTTAAAAGGCACATTGGAAACTTGAAGCTGATTGATCTTTTGGAACACATGGTGTGACTCTGTGGATCATTGGCGATCTGAGGAGCATTGTTCCCCAACAGCATTGTGATATGCAGCATTATTTGTAGTCCTGTATATTAATGGACTTTATCTTATGTTTGGAAAGAATAGTTAAGAAGTTATCTTCCCTGTTTAAAAATCCATTCTATCTGTACGTTAGGCTTCCAAGCACATCAAGCTATAAGAAGTCATATGAGGCAGTGACTTCTGCATTACTTCTCAGTGCCATTGCTCTGAACTCCCCATACTTCTCAGGCAGAGAGATGCTGCCTTGTCTTGGGATGTTTCTCCTCCGTCTCTGTTGTTGAATTCCTAGATTTTTTTAAAACTGAGAATGTTCAGCTTGGTAACTCTCTTTTTCATGGAGTGGTGACTCAAAAATGGTCAGTATTTACCTTTTCAGAGATAAAAGTATTTGTTTTCATAAACAGTGACTGTTGTTTTAATAAAAGTAAACCTTCACATTCAGACAAGATTAAACTTAGATTCCTTTTTTCAGTATAATTTGTAACATTTGATGTAAATAACATATGCTTTGAAAGTAGCTTGAGCATTCAATTTTAGTAAGTACAAGGTGCTTATAAGACATCCTTGACATAAGGCTACTTTGGTTATTTTCATTAGCTCCATTTAGGGGATTCCTTGGAGATACCTATACATTTATATCTATACTATACATCTCGTCTTAATCTGTGTTATGTAATTCATCTTTAAGTAATACTAATATTAAAAACTAAATTTTATGGTACATAAATATATTTGTATGTTTTGATGATGAATGACTTTTTAGTAGTGATCTCTGACAAAGGGTATTTCTTGCAGCTAAGTTAGGTTACAGCGATCAAAAGGACAGACTAAAGGACATATCCAGAGAGTGTGCTCAGAGAGCTGCTGATATGAAAAACTTCTCATCTTTACGAAAAGATGCAGACAGAGGACCAAGAAAAGAGTCTGGGAGACAAAGAGGTACGTTTTAAAAATATGGCCAGAGAATAAATGGATTAAATAGCTTTTAGCATCGATACTAGCTGTGCAGATTTTTTTTTTCTCCTTTTAAGAGAACACACTGTAAGGTTGGAGTTTTCGCCAGTTTTCAGTACTCTGAATTATGTACTGAATTTGTTGAGATACTTTTGTTTCTTGCACTACTGTAACAATATCAGTTAAATATTAATGAGAACTTTAATGAAGCTTTTTTCTTTTTCTTCTTGTAAGACTTGATTGGGGAAGATCGTTCCAATGTGAAGTTGGGGTCTCCTGCAGTTGGAAATGCACTTAGACCCTGTGCTGATCAGCGCATATACAGCAGCCAGGGAAAAGGCTCCTATAAGCATGATAATGCACCTCACCAAGCAAAGCTTTCTGTACAGGTGCTTGGATCAAATAAAACAGAAGCTTTTCCTGCTGGGGAGAAACCAGTGATCAGGACCCGGACAGACGGTGTCACTGGCTATGATACAGACACCAGTCAAGACTCTAGGGACAAAGGAAGTATCATTAGCAGCAGAAGCAGAAGTAAAGGTTGGAAACCTATGCGAGAGACACTAAACGTAGACAGCATTTTCAGTGAGGCTGAGAAAAAGCAGCATAGCCCAAAGCACAAGGCAAATCTGAACAGTAAATCTGTAAAGCATGAAAAGGAGCGAAGCTTTAACCATTGGCCAAAAGAGAACCAAAACCCGAAAGGTTTAATGACTATATATGAAGATGAAACCAAACAGGATACAGGAAGTCGAAGTTCACTGGATTCAGAGGGAAAAGGGAATGCTGAAAAAAGCAAAGGATTTGCAGAGAGAAAAATCCATAGTGATAACTGGCAAATTCAGAGGACAGAATCTGGATATGAAAGTAGTGATCATATCAGCAATGGATCTGCAAATCTGGACTCTCCTGTTATTGAAGGAATCAATGTAGCAGATGTGAAGAATGTTAAAGAAAGTGCTTCCTGCAGGTAATGCTAATGCTCTTAGAACTTGCACAGGTTGTGTTTAGAAAAATAAGTTGTTCTGATGTTCATATGTTGTTTCAGGAAAAAAAGAAAACCTCAGGAAAACATTGTTCGGAACTTTATACACTTGAGGTCAGGTGTGTAGAAAGCTAGCAGTGTATCTAGAAATAAGGGTGCAGACAATGAAATTGTGAAATTTACCTTCACTCTGAGGCTGCGCGCTAGTGCTGTTTGGAAGACGCTGAGCCACATTGTTACAGTGCTGAGCAAGACCTGCTGAGGGGCAGGGTGTGTTAATTTGAAGTAGTTGCTATACTTCAGTTACAAGTTTTTTTTAGACTGCGGGTAACTTGCCGTCTGTAATGGAATACAAATGTCTATATAAATCATATCTGTAAGAGTAGTACAGACAGGCCCCTCACAAGGAGATGGGAATGGTAGTAGGGTGAATCTTGTATACTGTTACTGGTCAGTGTTCTGGAATTCAGTTTTGTAGAACACCTCGGATATATATTGATCACTTGATAATTGATCTGTTTGAAGGAAATCTTTGCTGAAAAGTGTAAAATTACTAAAACTTGCCAAAAATGGGGGTTACAGTTCAAATTTTATTAAACTTAGTGGGAATTGATGTATGCTAGTAACAAATATGTTGCCCAGAGGTGTTGTGCAGTCTCTTGTATGTGGAGATGCTCATAATGCAGCAGGACGTGGCAGCTCACTGTAGTTGACCCTGCCTGAGTAAGGTGGGTTGGACTAGATGATCTGAAGAGGTCCCTTCCAACTTAGATGGTTATATGGTACTGTGAAATGTAAAGTTATCAGCCTTCCACGTGCAGTTTTCTGTATTGTGTGCCTTAAACTGTATGTGGAACATAGTTCCTACTAGAACCCTTACATTCATTCTTCTTTCAAATCTGATTTACATCCATAAAATGGAAGAGCACAGTTGTGAGACCAAGTCTGGTCATATATGATTCCTAGATTTGAGCAAACTTTTGGACATATATTTTCATGGAATGTTATTTTACGGGGGAAGAGAATAGCAAATACCAGGAAATTAAAAGGCTCTGACTTATCTAAGCAAAGATGCAAAATTTTAAAACTTATTTGAAAAAGAATTGTAGCAAGGTATCAAAACAAATTTTTTACTTAAACCCTACAAAATACTGCTTCTGTATGAATTGAAATGTCTTTGATTATTTTGGAACTGCAAGAAAGCAAAGTCAGTCATTTGCTTTGTTGTTAGTGTCCTAGGGAAATATGTATCGCTTACAGAAGCATAAAGAAGGGCATAAAAATGGCCATGCCAGGATAGGGCCAAACGTTTGACTAACAAACCTTTTCCCTCCCAACAAACTGTACAAAACCCCACTGTACAAAAACCTTATGGGCTTTTTATTGGATAGTGATATAAATATGTTTAAAGCTACTCCAAGCCATGTTTATATTTGCAGTTTTTACAGTTACCTTGAACAGTGATTCCTGTATTTACAACCATGCCTCATTTTTAAACATGCCCAAGAGGTAATGGGATGCCCAAATGCTGCATGCGTCTTATTATGAGAGAGAATGATAACTTTAATACAACTTAGTTCATTAAAATTGGCTTCCACTGTTGTTCAAGTGTTTGTCAAACAAAGAACAAAAAATCTACTTTATCAAAATACAAATGACTTTGTAGGACTTTCATAGGGGTTTTATATGACTGGTAATTGGAATTGACTAGCAATAACCCATTTGACCCCTTCTAACGGTTCAGACTTCGTGTCATACCAAAAAAAAAAAAACCACAACCAAAACAAAACAAATTAATTACTTCCAAGTTATTGTAGAAGGTGGAAAAAAATTACTTAGTGTTTTGTTTTCTGTTAGGTTCTTTCTCCATTCTTCTTGTTTCTTTCAGTATTTTTCTTGTTTTCCAGTCCTTTCAATAGCAAGTGCTGATTTTTTGGTTTGTTTTTTTGGGGTTTTTTAGTTTGTTTGGTTTGTGTTGTTTTTTGTTTTGGTTTGTGGTTTTGTTTTTTGTTTTTAAGTTGAAAACTTGCCACTGTGTATCTTCTTCCCCTGCCTTACTCTTGGAGAAGGACAAAATTGGCAGGGTGTTTGTCAGCTCCCTATCTGGATTGGTAAGGCAAGATTTGCTAAATCTGCTGTTTTCCCCCCCCCCCGCCCCCTCCTCATTTTGGGTTTGCTGCTATAGTCTTCCAGTTTTCTTCCAGTTTGAGAAGTAAGTTTTTAAATGAAAATCCCTATGAATGAAAGACCAAGTTGGCAATCACAGCTTAGAATAATGATGTTTGTCATCGCAGCAAAGTATTAATAATAGCAAAATGTCAAACTACAAAAGTGGAGAAGATAGAATGTTAGCTAACAGGCTCCACATACCTAAGATACTGATGAGATTTTTTGTATTTTTACAAAACTTAAGCTTGCCATAATCTGATGCTGCTGTATGTTTAGCTTTGAAATGTTCAGGGTGTAAACTATTAGCACTGAAAAATGTATTTGTTCCAGATATAGGTGATACTCATGATAAATTGGAAACTATACGGTACCACGTGTAGTATTCTTTTTCTGCATTGAAGTGTCAGTTTTAGGCAAAACCTACAAACACGTTGAATTAGGTGACCAGTGGTATCTGTTCCATTTGAAAATCACTACAGAAAACAGGTATTCGGAACTGTCATGCTTTCTTGGTGATCTCAGTTAATAAGCACTTTCTGAAATTTTTATGAAATTTATTAGTTTATAATGAGAAAGTATGGTTGATAGTTCTTTTTCACAGGTGACATCATTTTTCTATTGTTGGTAACTTTGGGAACCAGCTGTCTTTATTAAGCAGGATGATGTGATATTAAGATCAAGAAAACTTGCTTTTTACGTGCGGCATGTTAGGCATCCTGCTGTTGTACTCCAGAGTAAGGCTGGGATGAGTGGGCATCCAATCTCCAGAATGAACTGGGAACACCAGCCTCGCAAACTGTATATTTTTTGGCTGTCTGTATTAAAGGATTCAAGTCATCCTAAATTTCTCTGCATCAGCACAGGCTGTTAAAAGCACTAAAGGGCCAACCCTACTATGTTATGTATCCTCTGTGAAGAGTGTGTGTGTGTGTATGTTAGTAAAAAATGTGACAGTGATGATAACAAGAGTCAGTTTCACATTGGCAAAGTTTTTACACATGTATGCATTCAAGGCAATAAAGTTTGTTATCATACATCAATAGTTCAAGCCTTCAGATCACATGTTTGCTTCTTTCACAGTGAACAGAACTTGTCAACCAAAAAAGCTGACAATATGTTACATTCAGTATCCCAGCAGAACAGAAACTTTTATGGTAAGAACTTTAACTTGTATATAAAGAATAAGAAGTTTTCTGAAAGTAATTTAGGGGTACCAAATTTTCAATACTACCTTACTAACATGACCCAAGAGATAGACAGATTTCTGATTAGCCTTTTGTATATTATAATTTTGCTGCATAATTTATTTTCATGATATTTCATAAATTTGAAAAATGTATATACAGTTTATCGTTGCCTTTTTTTCACAAGCCATAACTAAGTATTTCAAAGTTAGACAATTTGTGTATCAAGTTAGAAGAAAATTGGCATGGAATTTGTGGCTGTTCTGGCCATGATGTTAGTGGTTTTTATGTATTTTCTTCAGTAGAGAGCTCTTTTGCTGACTTGTCATGGCCTGTGTACTCTGTCTCTTTAAAACGGCATAAGAAATCTGTTTTACTGGGTTTTTTTCATCTACAGTGAGTTCCAAATTCTGTTCTTGTTCATGGTTTTAACCTTTTCAATGAGTTAAACTGATGGATAAAGATGGAAAATGTTCATATCCCTTCTTGGTACTTTTTGATGGAAGTGTGATGGAGCAGCAGTTCAATAACCATATGAACTTTTTTCAGGGGCATTTAAAGCATTCTGTTCCACAAAGCACCCTCATTTATTCAGTTTCTTGACTTTGTTGTAGAGCAAATGTACAGTGTAAATGGATTCCTAGCTATCTGCCACGATACGGGTTCCCAAATAGAGGGGTTGGGGTTTTTTGGTGCTCCACCATCATGTGAAGAAAATTATTTGTGTTATGACATAGTAGTAATAGTTCCCTATTTCTGTCCTAGGTCATGAATATGCATGGTGAGAGTTTACCTGTTCTTAGCATCTCCTTTCAGACAGGGGTAGCAGTGCTCAGCTGCGTGCCGAGTCATGTAAAAGCATGACATGTCCCCCAAACAGCTGTTTCACGTGACCTCAAGCACCAAAGTAGCAGGCTAGGTGATTTTTTTGTAGTGCTTGGATCTATTTTAAATGTGGTATTTTGGTGTGGAAAATGTATCGTTTTGCGAGGCCACAGCTTCTTTGTGCATGATTAGATAATCAGGATACAATGATTCTTCTTGCCACGGTGGTCCTCTCCTGGTGTGTTATGTTACGAGGCATTTTCTTTCTAGGTTGACAGAACAGTTTGTCCTTCCTTGTGCATGTCCTATACCACTGTGCCCTCAGAAGTGGCCAGTGGGTAACTGCTGCTCGCTGGTGTAGGTTCTCTGCACAAGAACTGAAAGCGCTGTTGTTCACCAGTATTAGTCATTTTCGCAAGGCCTGCAGTGATATGACAAGGGGTAACAGTTTTAAACTGGAAGAGGGTAGATTTAGATTCGACATAAGGAAGGAATTTTTTACAATGGGGGTGGTGACATACTGGGAACAGGTTGCCCAGAGAAGCTGTGGCTGCCCCCTCCCTGGCAGCGTTCAAGGCCAGGCTGGACAGGGCTTGAGCAACCTGGTCTAGAGGAAGGTGTCCCTGCCCCACAGCAGGGGGTTGGACTGGGATGATCTTTCAGGGACCCTTCCAACCCAAACCATTCTGTCATGGGAAGATTCTGTGATTTTTGGATGACTCTATGCTGGCATAAAACATCCAGTACAATTCATTTTCACTGGCTTTAATCAGTGCTTTCTTTTTAGTCCAATGGAAGTGATTAAACATAAATCTTCATTTCTGTTGCTTATGTTCTGCTTTGGGAACACATTTTTCACCCCACCCCCCAAAAAAGAAAAACCGTGGTAATTTTGTTCACTCCCTGTGTTTTCCCCAAAAGCATTTCCACGAGCTTTCTTGGTGGATATTAAGGAAGATTTTTTTTTTTTTTTTTTAAATGTGTGGGTGGGCTGTGGTACAATTTGTTTTTCTTCAAGATATGAAGCAGTATCATGAAGAAACACTTGTAATAAGGAAATCTACTTCCTTTTATATACTAATATGTCTGTTGGGTTTTTATAAAGTTGATAAATGCCTTGGCATATAAATATTGTAAGTCAGCAAGAGGCCAGCCAAAATCATTATCTGCTGTTGCTGGAACAATGGAATGGTGCTTGTACAAAGAGATGTAGTAAGTATTAGGCCACTTCCCCAGGAAATGTTTGATTTTTATAGATATCAGACTTCTTTTCAAAGAATGTATAGTATAGTTTCTTCTAAGACTTAAATTGGAAGGGGGAGGGGTTTGTCATACCACTTTTATCTTTTCTGTCATTATTCCAATTTATTTTTTGGTTGTAGAAAGAGAACTAGTTTGGTGTTTGTTTATTTTGACAACAAAAAAAACCCAAACCTAAAATTGATGTTGTATGGAATGCCAAGATCTTTTTTTGCATGACATTTATTCTGCTTTTGTTCTGCACTATACTATACTTCTCATACCAGTAGGGGGGAAAAAACCCACTTCAACAGCAATAAGAAAAAAAAACACCAGTGAGAAATACAAAAATTACTCTGTCAGAGTGGGTTCAAACAGTGTTTGATCTTAGTAATGAATATTCTCCTGAGAGAACGATGTACTGTACTTAAGTATACTTAAAGCTTTCAACATGGATTGTACATTTTCTTTAAAAAAAGTGTAGTGATTCCAGGTGATCTTTACAGTTATCATAAAACATTGATAATAAGATCCCATCTATTCAGTTATTCTAATTCAGTAACTAACTTCTGAATAGTTTCATAACAAAAATGTATGTATTCTGTATCATGTGCAGTTCTGACATGGGTGCATGATTTGGAAAATAATAATTTTAGTGGAAGTGATTACTACTGAAGAGATCTGAAGAATTTGAACATTTCACATGTATGTGGGGTTACAGATTTACTTAGACTCATTTTTTGAGTTGTCTAAAAGGTGTGTTAGGACACATTTAGCAAGGACAGTAGTAGTCATTTGCAGGCATCAGTTGTATTGCCTTATGTTGTATCTCTGAATATTATGAATGATACATGAATTGGTATGTAAATACCAAATGGACTCCTAGAAAGTAGTACTTAAAGAAATGACCAGTCCTTTCTGAGAGAGGAATGGGATGTAAGAAATCTTTGTTAGCCTCTCATGGCAACTTCAAACAATATCTCTGCGTGGTTTTTTGCGTGGAAAACTTCATATGGAAATAATGTTGGACTTCTGATTATGCCCACTATTTGTATAACTGTGCTTACCGGTGCCTCATTTTTAACTGGAGCTGAATGAGGTTACTGTTCAGCAGTTGAGGAATTGTGTCCCTGACTTACAAAAACAAACTTATTGTTAGAGCGTTATAAAGATAATAACATTGGATCACACAGTGGTTATGCAGCTCAAATGGCTGCTTCTTTCACTGGTAGTCAGCAGTAACTGTAGTGCTGAAGCAGATGTCCCACATGGCCAATCCCTAATTTGTGTGATCACATTTTGGCAGGAAAATATGGATATTAAGTAAGCAGATATAGTATCCTTAATTTATATTAATAAGTTAGTGTTTATGAAGTTTGAGCTTGATGAACTATGGGTGCTAATTTTTTTTTATTATAAAGAACATGTGATGTGAACAGAGTGAGGACAAAATTTCCAACCTCACATTCTTCAAGTTGAAGAAAGTTGACTATAATTCTTGGAAGCTGGAAAAGGCTATAGATTTTTTTTTTTTAATTGATTTTCAGAGCAGTCCATGTGCTAGCTACTGATAATCATTTTCAATCACAAAGGGGTTTTAGGGGCTTTCATGACAACCCTTCCAGATTCCTAAGGCATAGACGTCTTCATGAAATTGCCACTCCTGACAATTTCGATAAGACATTACTGTTGAGAGGGCTAAGGGAAAGAAAAAAAAAATTAAATCCTAGAAGCCCTGTTTTCTAGATTCCTCTCCTCCCACGCCTTCAAAGCTCAGAGCACTTCGTTCTTGAAATAACCTGTCAGTAGAATAAGCACTGTGATTAAAATTGGCCAAGTGCTACATGGCCCCGTATTTAAAATGCAGTAATAAAAGTTGGCCATTCAGTGATCTCAGAAAAGGATGTACTTGGAATCAATGCCTTAAATTAATAATTGCTTCCCTTTGAAAATAAATGCAAAGCAGTGTTTGTAATGCAACAAATCCAGAGGTTTTCCCATTAATAATTATTCAGTTCAATAGTATGAGACAACTCCAACTGAAATCTAGAATATTTCTGAAGCTCTGTTGAGTATGTAAAGAAGAATCGATACTGCCTTTGTTTATTTGTCACTTCAGAAAACCTCACAAACAAACCATAATTCTGGAAAAGAAAACTCATCTTAAGAAAACCATACATTCATAGTAATAATTTAAAATATGCAACTCTACTCAAAAAAATCTATTTGTTATCCTTATGGTGCAGTCAATCTATATGACTGTTGTGTTTGAAGAGCTGAGTAGTGAATTAAAGCATGCAGCTACTTAATTTACTTAACATGAAACAGAAACAAATTCTTTTCTGGAGTGTCTTTAAATTCTAGATTAAAGATTTTTGTTTTAAAAAAACCCAAAACATAAACTTTCAAGATTTCCTAATGTACTCAAGCAGCCCATAAAGGTTGAAATGTAAAGCACTCTCACATATGTAACTAATTTTATTAATATGAGAAGTTTTCAATTTAAAATAGAGAATGCAAAGGTTCAGGATTGGGCTTTAAAACAAAGACCTGGTAAACTTCTTGAGACGAGCAGATCAGAAAGAGGGGAGGGTAATAGTTGGTGTTCTTTGACTGTTGGTTCACTTCAGAAGTATGCACCACCCCACCCCTCAAAAAACCAGCAGTGGAACTTTATTTTCATTTTTTCCAGATGTTTAAAGCCATGGAAAAAAACCTACTAATGAATATATAAGAAATGTTTTGCAACTGAATGTTGCTCCAGAAGGACATTTTTTCTTGAATATAAGGATTTTTTTTTTCCAAAGATGGTCACTGTTTTTTAAAAATAATACTCTATTTTGGAGAAGTTATAATATGTTTACCTTCTTGACTGGGCCTATGTTGTTGTACCATGTTTCCAAAGCTTCCAGTAAGTCTGTCTGTCATTTCAACTGAATACAGAAAAATGTCTGGGCTCAGAGGGAGGAATTTGCTACAGTACTTGTTACAAAAAGTATTACAACTCTTTTTTTTTTTTTTTTTTTCGTGTACTTGTTTGTTTGTTTTTTTTTAAATCAGAAGTACAGGAAACATGCAGTTAAAACACATTAGAAAAAGGCAATTTAATTTAATGTGGGGGATTTTGTTGGTTTGGGATGGGGAGGGTGTTTCTTTCCCAGAAATTGGTCTTTGCAGATTTTTGCAAATGTTCTGTATGTGTAAATGGAGATACTGAGGAGAACTTGTCTGTCCTACCTGTTGGCTATAGAATAGCTGTTAATCTTTTGAAAATCTTGATTGGCTGTTCAGATGTGAAAATAGATGTTCATAAATCTTAAAAGCAGACTAGTTTGTACATCAGAAAGCAGTTACGTTTCATTTATTGGTTTGTATGAGCCATTGATAAGGATGTCAGCCTCCAGCTGAGCATAGCGCTTGTGTGTCCCATATTTAGGTTTGCAAAGAACGTAGAGCCAAAATTCCCAATCTAGTCTGTGTCTGGTTTTAACCATGCATGGAGATCCTGTCAGCAGAAGAGAAAATAACACATCTATTTTTAAGTTAGCTGGAATTCTGAAGGCACGAACCACCTGGTGTTGCTGAGCAGCTTTGGCTGAACGTGTGCCGTGGTCACACCAAGGAGAGGGCTTGTTAACCTTTGCTGCTGCCTCCTGCCTGGTTTGTGATGCTGCCCATACTGGATTCCTGAGGAGTTTGGCTTGCAGTAAAAAATAAAAAAATCAAAATCTCTAATCTTCACATCAGGCAGTTTGGTGAATTAAAGAGCAGTCATATGGGGGATTTATTTGCTATTTTTATGTGGACATGCTCTTGTTAAAAGTCAATATATTCAAACTCTGAAAGTTAAAAACACTAGCTTCAGACACTATTAATCTAGCAAGTTATGTAACTGATTCATTCCTAGAACAATATCCTGACGTTGGGACTGAGATTAGAAACAGAATTGCAAAATATTCACAGGAAATAATTGGCCCACTGGAGCAGTTCTGAACTTTCTTTTAGGTTAACTACTTGTCCCTTGCCGGTGTCACACGGGCTTATTCAGTAACAGTATTTTCCCATAAGTATACTTTCTAAGGTTGTGGTATTTTTTATTGTGCCAGAATAATAACTTTTTTTTTTTCATGTCAAGGCTCAAAGGGAAGTCATATGGGGGCTTTGTATCCTGTGCTCTAAGCCAGTTCAGCCTCTACAACCTGTGTTCTTTGTCAAAGATTTAGTATCTTTAGTCTTTCATCAGTTAAAGATAGGCAGATACTGACCCTCAAAACAGGTATCGCCCAACAGCATCACCCAAAGGTTTTAGTTTAGTTCTGTTCTGTTGTTGGGTTTTTGACTTGTATGTTCACAAGTCAGAAGTTCCAAGACTTTATTTAAAGTTGGGGAAGTACCAAGTGAATTAAAAAAAAAAAAAATCTTCCTAAGATTACATCATTTAAGAATAGATACAGAATCTTTGTAGCTTTTGTTGATGAAAGTATGGAACAGCCTATGTTATCCCACTGGAAATTGTCTTAAGTTAGTGCTGTCTACTGAACACGAGATTATTCTACTAGATATCGGGCAATGTATGCTGCCTTTTTTTAATTTAATTCCTGATTTTCTAAAATAGGCGTAGTATTTATAGGGATCTAGTCTAGATATACATAAACTAAGGCTTCCTTTGAACGGGTTCAGAGCAGGTGACTGGTTATAATGGGCTGATCATTGCATTAGGAAGACTTCTAATGTCTTATCTCTAAACAAATAGACTGTTGCTTGTCACTTGCCAAAAGAGTGTTTTATTCTATGTGGTGTTGACATGGATACTTCAATCCTTCCTTTATTTACTGTTAACTGGGAGTGGCATTGTTCAGAAATTGTGTGTTTTTAGAGGATGGTTCTTTGCGGTGAATAAAAGGAGCTTCTAGAGTGTGAGTGTGGTAGTGCTGGCCCAGGCACTCTCACATTGTGCGTTTAGGGCACATGACTGAGGGTGCTCTGTCTGCTCAGCACCTCTGTGAACTGTACAGTTTGCTTAAGTTTTAAAATCTATTTCAAAGAATGCATAATGCATTTCTTAAAAAAACCAAAAATAACCCCAAAACAACAACAACAAAAAAACCCACAAAAAAACCCCCACCAAAACCCCCCAAAAAAACCCCGAATCAAACACCACCACCAAAAAGTGAAAACACCCCCTAATCCCTATGGTATTCATTCCATTTAATGATCATTACATGATGTGAAATTTCAGAAATCATAAGTAGTTTTTATTTTTTAATTTAAATTACTTTGGATGTTTGACTAAACATGCTTTTATAAAAAGCTGCTTTTGAAAACGTGCTTTTGATTAGATTAAATGTTAAGATGATCTGGAAAACATGTCTGTAAGTTTTCCAGATTGTGGTAATTACCTATTTTCTGGTAACATTAAAGAAAACAAAATGAACATTTCTTCCAGATGATTTTGAATGAACATAAGATCTGACCTTCTGTGACAAATTGTTTCCAAAATGGTTATTTTGATCAATGTCAAATCTTGAAAAGAATGAATTGTCCTGTTGTGTTTTGTTTGTTTTTGTAATCTCTGAGGAATTACAGAGAAGGAGTTGGACTATATTTCTGTTTATTTTGAAATATTTTTTTCTATCCCCAGACTTCAGGAAAGACCAGATCAATTCAGAAGTTAACTGCAGACCTCATGTTAATTTCCCAACAGAATTACATTTGCAGGTGCCCAGTCCTCCAGTAAAGAGGTAACTAATACTGGCATTAATTTACTGTGTAATAGTTTAAGTAATACTGAATTCTGTTATGTAATAGTAATCAGTATTAAGCATGCAAAAGTTAAAGGATTGAATATTTTTGACAGACAATGCCTCTTGTAATTTATATACTTGATAGGGATAAATGCTCTGTTTTTATTTTAATTTTGATGCTGTCAGTGGAACCAAATAGCTTACATAGTTTTAAGCTATCTTACCAGAGCAAAGGGTTTTAATATTTTTCTGTTTTGAATTTATATATTAGAACAGGCAGAGATTAACCAATTTGTGGTTGGCGCAATAGCCACATAGTTTTGAACGGTCTAGGTGAAAGGGGAGGAAAAGGCAACTTCTGTTTAGAAGCTGCTGCTATATACTTGTTGTTTCTAATTTGAACTGTAAGTGCCCAGTACCTCCTAAAAATCAGGAATCTAAATACAAATTTAGCACCCAAAAGTAGCGTCTGATATTTGAAAAGTGGATGTATCAGACTGAGTCACAGGAATGCTTAGAAGAGTGCAGAGATCATGTTTGACATAATCCTGAGTGTTGAAGGAATTTATTTTACTTCACAGATACTCAGTCTCTTGCAGAGATTTTTTGGGGGGGCACTTTGTGTTTGAAATGAAAGAAACCGTGGAGTGATTTAATACAACTTTTAATCAAATGGCTGTATGTTAAGCAGATCCTAATTCTCTACTCAGTTTGAATATTTAAGCAGCGTTACCAAGGCTGTTTTTGGAAAAAAAAAAAAAAAAAAAAAACACAAAAAACAAAAACCACACAACAACTTGGGCTATTTGAACTTTTTCTTATGTTTTTATGGATACTTACATCCTGTGTATTTTTGTATTTTAGAGCTGAAATGCCTGAGAGCAATAGGAAGCTTTTCCCATCATCAGCTCTACAGCCAGTTCTTAAAGACATTAAGTCAGAAAGTAGGAACAAGGCAAACGAACAGAATTCTTCAGAGTGGCTTATTCCAGACAAGTTTGAGAAGATGAATGTGTCAGTGTATTGTGGTGATGGCATGTCCCACCCCTATACAGAAAACGTCTGTGGAAGGAAGCTGATCAACAATGATTTTCACTCCTCTTCGCAGCCGCAGTCCCATCATGCCAGAACGTTTGGTCCCAAGGTGGGGTTGTCGCCTTGTGTGCCACAGAACCTGTCAGAACAGCCCGTGGTGCTTCCCCCTCCCGGTGAGCATGCTGGGCACCCACCCCGAAGGGTGGATGCTCTTTGGGTGCCTGAAGCAGTGTACCAGAATCTTCCCCCCCCTTTACCGCCAAAGAAATATGCTCTGAATCCTTTGCCAGGATCAGAAAATAACTTGGCAGCTGATGTAAAATCGACAGAAGTGTTGCAAAATAATTCGTTAAGGCAAACAGGTACACCTTTAAAATCTGCATCAGAAACAAGCGTATTTGCAAACGAGCAAAGGATTAGAGAGCCGTTTCAAGGGAATGAACTGTTTGTTCATAAACCGGATTCTCCGCCTCGCTTATCGGTTAATGACTTTTGGACTGTGTCTGAAAACTTTTTAAAGAAAGGATCTCGTCATACAGGACCAAGTGCTGGCTGTGTGGATGGAAATAATAGCGTATCCCTAACGACTTATTTTTCAGTAGATAGTTGTATGACTGACACATACAGGATGAAATATCATCAGAGACCCAAGCTGTATTTTACAGATAGTGGAAGCTTTCACAAAGAAAAGCATCCTCCGTCAGCTGGAGTAGAACTGAATGCCACATACCATGCTACTCTTGAGCCCAGGCATGTCACATCTGAGCAAAGGTACAAGGCAAATGTAGAAGGCATACACTGCAGTAGATAGATTGTTTAAAAAAAAAATAAAAATCTGGATATAGCTTTTGCATTCCATCTGGTCTGTAAATGGGCACAAACCTGGAATCTCTTGTGTGCTGAATAAGTAGGTACCCAGTTGACTGTACTGTGCTTTGGAGTTACGACTGTTTAAATGAATATGCAAAAAGAGGTGAACAGAGGAGAAGAGGTGCTAAACTTCTGGTTCTTTGACTTGTTACTCTAGTTGCCTTAATGCTTACCTCTGTTACTCAGCTTGTCTTCTAGTTTATGTAAAAATTGGTCCCTTTGGGTGTATGCATCTTACAGCAGTGGGATCAAGTAACGTTACTAATTTTGTAAGAAGATTTAATTAGTTGCAGTTTAAAAAGTGTTCCTTCAGACTGTGGTCACTACATACTTAGACTAACAAAAGGGATGAACATATTACCATATATAATGCCATAACTGGAGTTATAATAGAGCAGTATTTGTCCTAATAGGCTACAGGAGGTGACATCTTTTTTTTCAACTGACTTCTCTGATAGTCTGTGCTTTCACAAACCTTTAAGTGTCTTTTAATGCAAGTTTACCCAGAGAATTTCTAACTTTTTATTTGAAAAGCCTTAATAATAATAATTCTTGAAAAACAGTTCTGTATTGCAAGTGTTAAATAAGATTTTTCAAAGCGAATTCAAGTAAACTGCAGTAATGACTGTCCTATTAATATACCTGCTCTATGTTAGTGTACATTTTTAAACATTTATCAATTTGTTCACCCTATAAGCTACATACTTTAACTTATTAAAATAAAATTTAACCACATAAGCTGCTGATATAGCAGAATAGGATGCTAATTTTAAAATACAGTTATCATGCAACTATGAAAGATTAATTTTGCAAGATTTTAGACATATTTACTACTTACGTTCAGTTCTGATTTATTCTGCAATTGCATGCAAAGTCATTGCTGCTATTTATTGAACTTACTGTATTTTTTCAGCTTGACATTTTGAGAAATGTTTAATGGGGAACAGACATTTGATCTTACTGACGTTTTTTCCTATTCGGAGCAGTCCTGCACATGGATCTGTTCTGTATTAGCAGATCAGGCTGACTGAACCGGCAGCCATTTGAACTGCGCTGGCTGAGGGGTGCATGAAAAGAAGAGGTTCCTTTCTTTCTCTGCTCTAGCACTCTGCCCTGCAGTTTTGGCAGCTCTGGCATCTACGTCTTTTGTTAACCTGACTTGTTTCAGTAACAAAGAGGAGGATTTATTTGGCTTTTATTTGCTTAGTTAGATCAGTGCACAAAACTATCTAGTGACTGCTGAGGCCCAGCACATAGCCCAGTGAGGGCTGGGGAGGAAAGAAGTGCGAACAGGATTTTGCCCTCATGGCAGCCCTGAGTGTTTGAAATGACCCACTGTGTCTTGTGGTGTCAGAGGCAGGGGCTTAGAGTTCCATTTCAGTCCTACTGTAACATTGAACAACATATAATTTAGAATTTATGTCAGCAAAGCCTGACGTTATCTGAAAAGGCTGAATTTTGCCATTATTTATGTTAGAGTGCTAACTTGGGGTGCTGCTGATTACATCTAAACATCAATGCCTCTTAGTTACGAAAGTAATGCAAGCAGGTTAAAAATGCATAATAAACACTCTTGCTTATACTTGCACTGTTAGTCAGAAAGGCTTTTTTATGTTTATAAACTTTATTTGAGTTTTAGTGATTCAACCAAATGTTGGCAGTTGTTATCCATAGTATACATTTAAATAGTAATAATATACAATTAGACATTGGATAATACATGGTTATCCAGGGTATACATTTAAACAGTAGTTTTGGTTATTCTGTGTCAAGGTCAGTTTTTTTTAAACTACATGTAAGTTATAGTAGAACTGGAACGTGATATATGCAACAAATCAGGTATCTCAGATTAATCTTATTTCTACCTTCTTGATCAAAATTTGTTGTAGCACTTGGAAAAAAAAGAGTTCTAGAATTTGTAGCGCAAATAATTATGCATGTTGAGGTATGGCTGCTGGAAAACAGCAACTTAAAAAATTATTCTTTTGTAAGAAAATCAGTGGAATACAGGAAGAAAAAAACAAACCTAAAAATGTAAGAACTTGGAAGATTCCTAATTGTAATATTTTTTGAGAGAGATTTCAGAACCTGTAAATTAAACTTTTGTAGGTCATCTAGCAATGTTATATAATATACACAGCCAGTTAAGTAAAACTGTCTTCTAATACTTTTGTAAAAAGAAAGATTATTGGAATTTGTAAATAATGTATAATTTGTAAAATGTTTTGCAAAAATCTTGTATTTGAAATGACAGTATTTTTATGTATGCATAGCACAGCAACAACTGTGAATAACAGAACACTTATTTTTAAACATGCATAGCAATGTTCATAGTTCTGTCAATGAGCAGTATGAATGCCTATTACTGATACCAATGAATCTGGCTTCCAGTAAGCACAACTGGTAAACTCATTTTTAAAGTAGCTGCAGTAATGTAGATGTACTTCAGTCTCCTTGCTTGCTTGAAACAATCTCACCAGGCAACTTTCTGTGATCCATGTTTACCAGGTTATTTAATTATAGTAAACAGACAGCTAACTGAGGCACCTTTGGTTTTATATTTGACTCTGCACTCCATGTATGTATGTACGTAATATTTGCTAACTAATACGTGGTAACTTGTTTTAACTTACCTAGGGTGCCTATTTATTTTTTTATAAATGTCCCCTTCTGGCTATAGATTTGTATAAGAGCCTAGACAATTTTTGTAACAGTAAAGATATGAACGAGACTTGTAATTAATATATTTTTCAGTCTTTAGAATTATTTTCTTGCAAAGTTCTGTTCAAACTATCAGATAAAAATTTAAAATATCTTTGTCTCCTGTTCTTTTTGTACTCCACATTTTTCTAAAAAGGAAGTTGGCTTTCCAGAACTACATTTTTAAATAGTGACAGGTAATACTGCTACTAATGGTTAAAAGTTTTGCAGAGATGGTGGCTCTTACCTTTTGTGAACAGAAAAATTCATCTTCTGAAGTATTTGTTTATAAAGCTGTTAATCTATTTAGCTTTCTAAATACCTATTAAAATTGCTTGATGGGTTTCATACATTAATCCCACAGACTTGGAGACAACTGAGTGATTAGTTATATGAGCTGTCTTTTTACCTTACTACCTTTGCTTTATTAGGGATAAGTGACATTTGCCTTGATATATGTGTACGGGCGCTCCAGGAGTGTGCTTGAGCCCAGTGCATCACAAGCCTCCACTTTGTTAGCTTTAAGTTTCCTGAGGTAAGTAAAACCTCATATGTCAGATCTGGCTGAAGGAGAAAAGTAAATTATTAAAAGATACCTTCAAATTTCTGTTAACTTTCTAAAGGCTGTTAGCACTTATTCTCACCTGTCCTCCTCACCAGAAGAGAAATGGAGCAACGTTACAGTGCTTCCCTAACAGGTTTCCCTGGTGAAATCATGTTAAGGAAAAAAAATTAGTGAACTTGTCACTTAATAGCTTCATTTAAAAAAACTGGAAAAACCATTTTGTAAGAATGCAATCACAGTTCTGCACTCTTCTGCAGTGTAAGTCAAGAACTCTGACGCTGCTGACTTACTTCATAGGTACCAGCAGCCAGGATCATAAATGCTAGCAGGTAAAGGCATCTCGGTTCTTGAAGTGTACGTCTAACACACAAAGAAAGCCACTGTCAATGGAAGAACAGTCTTTAACAAGGCAAGAAAAATAAAGGG